CAGTTTTTGAAAATGAAAACTATACATTTATATTAAACTTCTTTACCTAGATGATAGAGTTTTCCATGCTGCATCTTATGATATATTTGATTTTGGAATAACATTTATCTAATAATGAAACAGTGAAATGCAAAACGCAGATATTTATTGTAATCCACACCCACCTTCAAAAAAATATTCCTATAAACATTAACTTACTTGTATCTCTATAACTATTAGAGATAAAAAAGGTGACAGATATTCTATCACAAAGTAGATCTATATGTTTAGTATATATGTTCTGCATATTAGTCGAATCTAATGAAAAAAAGCATATAATATATATATCTTACATCAATATGAAGAAAACAATTTATTTCTATTTTTAAAAATTTCTGAGACAAGACAAAAAAAGTAACATTATATGAAATCATCGATCATCGTAATATTGACTAAAATAATGTTAAGTCAACGATTTTTATACTCATATGAATCTTAAAATAAGCACATATGATAATTTATCTTCATGACAATCTTATTAATAATGAGATAAAAAAGTTCTAAAGAATGCTTCTGTTTTAGAAAGTTTTCGATTTTAGGAATTGATCGCTGAGGATTTAATCGAGAAAGTACTGATCTACTTTTCTATATGTTTAGTTTTTCAAAAACCTTTTATAGTGTTTGGAAATGATTGTAAACAATATTATTGCTAGGCCGTTTCTTTTATTTTGTTAAATTTATTCCTTTTTTTATCGACAAAAAAAGACAAAAGACAACGGTGTACATTGTTCTCTCTCTTTCTCTTTCTTCATCCATTATAAGCGTAAGAATGACATTGGTTCATGGTGAGGATATCATAAGAGAATAAAGACCGTCTGATTATGTTAAGAGAGACCTTTCCTGACACAACGGTTAGTAATCATTGTTCGTACCTAACCACAGTAAATACCTTCATAAGTAAAATAGAAAGATATCTGAGACGCCAGTTCATATTGTAATTAATAGAGTTTTTAATTCTCTGCAAGACTCTAGCATCTCATTCTATTATCGTGTCAGAAGGAGAATACTGACCCAAATATTGCATCTCTAAAACATCTTGTATGTACATATTGATTCACAGAACCCAATCGAAGGTGTGTCGCAATAGGATATTTCTCGAAAAGCTTACTGATGATGAGAGCAACAGCATGGCGAAAATATTTGGACGGAAGACATCCATAGACGGAAATATTATAAAATGCACATTCTGATACTTGAAATTCAACCTTTCTCTAGAACATTTTTCACTTAGATTTCGTTCCTATTCAGAAGTAATGACACGTTTTGAATAAATGAAAAAAAACGGTACCGAACTGTATATGTTTAGAAAACATATTTTTTCGTAGGAAGGCTGTGAATATGAAACTAATACTCATACTCATTCCGTTTACAATTGAAATAGATTTAAGAAAGTCTTTATTCTCGATTTGGATATGACTCTACGACGTTAACAATAATCGACAAGGTTCCGAGTTACAACTGATAAACATTGCCCATTCAATTTGATACAGAATTTTAACCTTTTACAGCCATAGTGGTTCCAGAAGAGACATCAATAAAATAACTATAAGAATAGAGTACTACCGTGCCTAGTATGACAATTATGTAATTTGTTTCATCAAATGTCTACCTCTTTGTGTAAAATCATTTAATAGGTCGGTTAATTTACAAAGGTCATGAGAACAGCATAATTTTGAAATACGTTATTTTACTATCACATGATCGATTTGTTCTGATGAAAGTGGTGTTCTCACATGTTGAAGCTGTAACATTTTGATAGGCTCGAACGATAAATATTTGTTAGTAAAATTTTGGTTGCATTTATTTTTCTTTAGATTAAAAATCAAGGTATTCTCGACTTCCGAGAGAAAAAGAAAATTGAATGAAATCATAATATACTATTATAAAGTCTTCATCATATAAATCTGCCAGTTGGTAAAAATAAATCATCTATTTTTTATTTCATGCCAATGGATGAATGTCGGTCATGTTTTGTCATCTTTCTGCTTCTGATTGCTATCGTTGAATGCAAGAAAATTGATGGTAAGTATAGAGTGACAATCTCTATTGTCTGTCAGATAAAAATTGAGAAAAAACTATTTTCTCCTTTTTTTCAACATAACACTAACTGAATGTTGGGCCAAGTCATCTTTCATGTATTATTTGTTTTTATCATTATTATGACTTGATCAAGTATTAGTATTTCATCTGTATCTTCCGTCATTCTGTGATCATACGTGAATAAATATGTTCTCTTTTCCAGTATGTTCCTTTTGTTCCAAACTCATGTATATATAAATACCCATTGCTTGAAACAAATAAAGATAATCGATTGTTCACATATGAGAAGATAAACTTCTTTCTGATTAACAACTGAGTAGTGACCGACTACTTTCACATGAAGTATTTTACATCAAAAGTATACAGAGATATTCCTGTTAAAGTTACTTTCTGCAGCATATGACAAACAAGTCTACTACATATTACCATCTGATACAAAACTTATTTTCACACATTCTCGTCTAAATCTTACTAAAGGTCATCATCTATTTGATTCTCCGTATCTGAGCCATTGTTCATTATATGTTTCCAAATTTTTCAACATTTCTATAACTGAAATTCAGAAACATAATTTTTCTTTTATCAAAGATTCTACCTGTGATTGTCTTTTTGTTTCTTTGAAATATGTATTTTCATTTAGTTGATTAATCGTTTCGTTCATATGAAACACATGGACAAGATTTTTTTCTATTTTCAGGTTGGCCTATGAGTGCATCTGGAACAGTTCAGACTAATTGGACTGGTACTTGGTATGGTGCGACCGAAGCCTATCCGAAAGGTACATTAGGCAATGGCTGGAATGTGACATTTGAGATTGGACCCTACCCAATGGTTGATAATAATTGCACCATGTGGCGAAGCATTTTTAAAGAGAATGGTACAATTAAACTTACTAAAGACAATCGTTTCTGTCGAGAACATGGTCCTGATGATTTGTATATTTATGACGGTAGTAGTGGTGTGAAGGTAGCAGTACAATGGATCCATAATATGTTGGTGTCATCATTTAAATATAATGGTGTATTTGCCGTCGCCACCATGCGAATGCGTGGAGACATCCTTGAAGAAGAGATTTTAATTACTGGTGACAATCCCGCTATTAAAGATGTCATGGTGTCTGTACGAACACATAGTATTCATTTAAAGACAATGAGACGAATGTCTATGTCCAACAAAACTATCTCTAATTCCTGTAAAAAGAACAAAGACACCAGGTCTAAGAAACGAGGATAATTATGTAGGTTTTCCCTGAAAAACTGAAATTACAGAAAAAGTCATGCTATAACCCTATAATAATCCTTTTATCTTGACAATCTCATTTTTCATTTCGGCGTATATTCGACTTCTAAAAGGCAGCGATATCCTTGAAATTTCAAAGGAAAAATTAAGGATATTAATGGACATAAACATATTTATTATTTCTGTAATATTGTTTCTAAACTACAATGAATATTTTTGTCGTTTCAACGTTTTTAATAAAATGTCTTTACTCTTTTTTGAATAAGATGTTAATATCCTCAAACAATTGCTTTCAGACGTTGAACAAAACATTTCGATCACAAGGCAACATGTGTGACCATAGAATATCTGTGATTATTCATATACATAC